ATAGTCCACTGAATAAAATAGGAATCCCTTAGCCAATATAGATATAAACTAACTAACTAAATTGAAAGTTTGATGGAAAATGGGATATTTACATAGCCTCATATTATTTCACCACAAACTATTTAATTACCAAGATAACTTCACAGTAGAAAGGCCTGGCAGACACTACATGAATCAAATGATCAAAGTCACCAGCGTCAGTGATAGGACAACTTGATACCATGTGCTATCTGGTAGGATACAATGAAAAGAACACAGTGTTACCTCTCTGATAGTTCTGCCAAAGGGGCATGACCTGAATTTCATCATGATAAAACCTCAGGCAAACCTAAACTGAAGAGCTTTCTATAAAAATAAGTAGCCTATAATTTTGAAAAGTGTAAGATGATGAAAGTAAAAGAGAGACTAAAGAACTGTTGAAGATTGAAGAAGACTGACAATCATGACAACTAAATGTAAGCCTGATTTCTGGACAGGATCTTTTAACTATGAAAAGAACGTTCTTGGAACCATTGACAAAATTTGAATGGAGTCTAAGGACCATGTAGTAACATGTCAGTGTTAAATTTCTGATTTAGATGATTGTACTGGGGTAATCTAAATGAATTCATACGAAATATAGTCAGGTATGGTGGTGCACACCTGTAATCCCAGCTGCCCAGGAGACTAGGGTAGGAGGCTGGCAAGTTTGAAGTCAGCCTCAGCAACTTAGCAAGACCCTGTCTTAAAATAAAAATTTAAAAAGGGCTTGAGGCATAGCTCAGTGGTAGAGTGCTTGCCCAGCAGGCATAAAGCACCTCCAAAAGAAAAACAAAAACAAAAAAAGAGGAAAAGAAAAGAAACATACACTAAAGTACCTGAAGTGACCGGGCATTTTCAGTTTTGTCTCTGCAGGAAGAAGCCTCTGAGTCACAGTTTAGTGTCCAGGATGTTTATTAGGAAGTGCCTTTGAAATTGACACCTGTGGAAGAGAAGAGGAAGCCAGCTTGGATAGAAGGAAAAGCGCGCGTGTGTAAAAAAGGCCAGTAGCCTTAACTGACCTCGTGAGGATCTCTGAAGCAGCAGTAGCCCTTGAGCATTGTTCCAAAACCAGGTTGGAAAGGCTGGGCTCTAGAATCACGCCTTGATCACCAGCCGTTGGATGTGGACTGTCTCCAGAATGAGTTTCAGTGAAGCAGCTCTCTGCAGCTGTAGGAGCTAACACTGAAGGCTGTCAGCTGACAGGTCTCCGAGTTGTTGAGGCAAGAAGTCTCTCCCATCAGAAAAACTCCATGTCTTCATTTTCATATTCATTTCCTGTGCTGCTCTCAGATTCCCTTCTTCATATGTGTTTAAGGAGCAGCTTCTTTAGTTTTCTGATGGGTTTCTCCCCCTGGGGAAACTCAAAAGGGACAAAATGCAGCTGCCTCTGCTACAGCTGTTTCTAGGGCTGTAATAGAGTCGAATCGCCTTTTGAAATCCCTCTTATCCTTGGCTGCTACTTCTCTCAGCCTCTGTGACTTACCTGAAGATATACTTTAGGTTCTCACCCCAGAGAGGACTGAGTTTCTGGTCACTAGGAGGTGCCATGGTTTCTGCATTATCTGTTTACCATTGCCATTGGGCAAGATTCATGTAAGTAGATCATTTGTGTACCAAAACCATCTTCCTTATTCTTTGTTTTTTAATATTTATTTTTTAGTTGTAATTGAATACAATATCTCTATTTTATTTATTTATGTGGTGCTGAGGATCGAACCCAGGGCCTCTCACGTGCGAGGTGAGTGTACTACCGCTAAGCCACAACCCCAGCCCCCCTTATTCTTTTTTTTTTTTTAATTTTTTTTTTTTTTTTTAGTTTTAGGTGGACACAATATCTTTATTTTATTTTTATGTGGTGCTGAGAATCGAACTCAGTGCCTCATGCATGCTAGGCGAGCATGCTACCACTTGAGCCACATCCCCAGTCCCCCTTATTCTTATATAATAGCAGGCCTGACTTCATCTGATGATCAGGGTCAATATCCCTGTCAAGATTATTCTCTACTTCTAGCCTACTTGTCTTTGGATAATAGGACCCGAAAGTGCCAGGGAGCAAATTTTGCTAGTAATTCAAAGGGACTTTTGTTGTATCTCCAATGGAAATATTCCCATTTTAGGAACTAGGTCCTCAAATCCTGCAACACCTAGATTACCAGGAACAGGAAGCATAAATTCCATAGAGGGTTATGGAGAGTCATGACAAGCAGGACTGTTCCTACTTCCATATTTTGCTTCCCAGATCCATGTATTCTTCCTGCCGGAGACATGGCATCATACAAAAATCTATGATTCAGCAGGGCACAGTGGTGTACACCTATAATTTCAGCAACTCAAGAGGCTGAGATAGGAAGATTGCAAATTCCAGGCAAGCCTCTGAACTGAGTGAGACCCTGTCTCCAAATAAAAATAAAAATAAAAAGGGCTGGAGATGTAGCTCAGTGGTAAAGTGCTACTGGGTTCAATCTTCAGTGGAAAAAAAAAAAAATCTATGATTGTACATTTAACGTATCCTGGAGGATAGTGTTTCATGTTCACAGGCCCTTGCATCTGAGCAGCCATTTGAGCTGTGCCTCTGGTAAGACACCCCAGGTGCTTTACCAGACCAGACGATGCAACTTCGGAGGGTGGTATAATAAGTGACACAACCAGTAGATACCACGGTCAGAGATCCACTCTCACACTATCTTTCCTTTAAATTGAATTCCCTGATTTGATGCAATGTCATGTTAGAGTCCATCCTGGTGACTATGAGCCCAGGGTGAAGCTTGAGGACAAGATACTCAAACATTCAGAACATGTCAGAAGGAAATCACTCACCCTTTTAGGGTAAAAGGGTCCCAAAGTGGTCAACTTGTCAATAATTGGTTGGTTTCTTGAAGAAATGTTGGCCATATTAGGAGTTCTACATGGGTATTTTTTTTTTTTGGCTGTCCAGACGGACAGTGGCAATAACTAGTCCAGCCCGGATACACAGGAAGCCATGCTATTGGGCTCAGAATAGCCTCATTCTGCTGCCATGGCCACTTCACTCATAGATCCATTGTGCCAGCAAGGGTGTGGTTGAAGACAGAGGCTGAGTCAACTGGCTGAGTCATTTTATATGAGGTATTTGTATCTGTCATTTTGCTATTTCTTGTCTTTATGTCGTGCCTATTTTTGTTTTTCTGTTCCTTCATTAATACCTTCTTTAGTGTTAAGAAGAATTTTCCAAATTACCATTTTAATTGTCTTCTCATTCCTTTTAACATGTAATACTTATACACTAATATATGTTATAATAAATAAACAAATGTTTAGTTATTTTCTTAATGGTTGTTCTGGGGGTTACAAATAATACCTTAGTTTATAGTAATCTAGTTCAGATTAGAACCCATTTAATTTCAATTGTATATGAAAACTTGGTTCCCAAATAATTCCATTCCCTCCACCTTTCTTTCTTTCTTTCCTTTTTTTTTTTTTTTTTGGTTTGTTTGTTTTTGCTTGTACAGATTGAGTTGTGCCTTTGTTGGCTGCCCATTATTTTTCAGCAAGGGACATCATGTTTTATGAACCATAACTCTCTACAGCTCTACACCTCTCTGCAGGGCAGGTGTTCCTGGGTACCATTTTGACCTTACTGCTTGGTGCATCCATGTGATTTCTTCTTCTTTTCTTTCTTTTTTTTTTTTGTGGGCGGAGGGGTCAGGGCTTGAAACCAGAGGTGCTTAACTACTGAGCTACATCCCCAGGTTTATATATATATATATATATTTTTTTTTTTTTTTTTTTTTTAAAATAGGTTTTGGTAAGTTGCTCAGGGCCTTGCTAAATTGCTGAGGCTGCCTCAGCCTCAGGAGCGGCTGGGATTACAGGTATGTGTCACCACACCTGGCAAATCTTCATGATTTCTGATAGATGAGTGATGCCACTCAGCTTGATTATTTCTGGTTCCTACTACATACAGTGCTAACCCAGTTCAATTATGTATCACAGTATCCTCTACTATTAGTCTGGCCTGCAGAAGAGAGCCACCACGGAACTTAGTAGTTCTGGTGTCCTTCACTACACATTCCTATTGTTGGCAGATGACATATCCACCTGCAGAACATAGTCATCTGGAGGGTTTTCTCTTCTTTCATTGTGTATCCACACCAGCATGTCCATTTCCCTGAGTGCTTTTCAAAAGTTAAGATAGCATTTGTATTCATAAAATTCACTTTTAAAGTGGAAAGTTCAGTGATTTTCAGTATATTCACAAGGTTGTGCAACAAGTTCCACAATCAATTTTATAGAATATTCATATATATTCATATGAAGTTCATCATTTAAAAAAATTTTTTTGTAGTTGGTAGATGGACAAAATGCCTTTATTTTATTTATTTTTATGTGGTGCTGAGGATCAAACCCAGTGCCTCACACATGCTAGGCAAGCACTCTGCCACTGAGTCCCAGCCCCAGCCGAAGTTCACTATTTTAAAGTGTACAATCAAGTGATTTTTAGTATATCCACAAGGTTTGTACAACCAGCACCTCAATCAATTTTAGAATACTTTCATAACCCTGTGTCTATTAGCAGTCACTCTCCATTCATCCCTCCCACCAATCCCTGGAAACTGATAATTTACTTTGTGAGTCTACAGATTTGCCTATAGTAGACATGTCTATTTATAAGAATCAAACACTATGTATGATTTGAACAAAAAGTTTATTCTGTGCTTCTCATATGTCATATAGGGGTTAAAACTGGAGAGAGGGATGGGTTGGAGATATTGGGACTTCTGTGGGCTTCATTCTGGAGAGGAGGGCACCAGGTACAGGGCGGGCTTTAGAGTTTTGCTTGGAAGGAGGGTAGATGAAGGGGCTTACAGTGGGGGCCACAAGTTAGGAAGGGCCCCAGACAGTCCACATTCTCCTGAAGAGTTAAGTAAGGTGCTTCAGCCTCGCGGGCAGCGAAGAACGGCGGACAGTGGACTTAATAGTCTAGCCCAGAGCCGAAGAGTTCACTTTGCAGTTTGGCCCAACAGGCGAAGGGGATTCTTCACCACCAGTTCCACGGACAGCGCCCTGTAGATGTGGTGCAGCACATCTCGAATGGGTCCCATGCCTAAGTCAGTATTCATGACAACCTTGATCCCAGTGGGCGTTCCATAGTAATGGAGTTTGTAAAGGCTAGTTTGGAAGGCCAGGAAGCCGTCCTTCATGCTTAGCGGGGACGCCTTGCTGACAAACGAACAGATAGAGAATAGCAGCTTGTACTCCTCCTCTTTGGGGATCCCTACTTGCCTCTTGTGGTGCCACTCACTGTAATGCAGACACAGTCCATTCCAGTCAAATAGGTATAGGTTGTGGACAGTCATCTGCAGGACAGGGAATGTGAACCTCGTTCCAGGACAGCTCCACTCAGCAGGCTCGGATTCTCCTGGGCGATCCCGCCAACAAAGTGGTTAATATGTAGCCTTTTATGTCTACCTTCTTTCACTCAGCATACTGTTGCAAGGTTTGTACAAGTGGTAGCATGTATCAGAATCTCATCCTTTATCATAGTTGAATAATATTTAATTATATGGATATACCATATTTTGTTTATTCATTCCTCAGTTGATGGACACTTGGGTTATTTCCACTTTTTGTCTACTGTGAATAATGGTGCTATAGATAATTGTGTTCACATTTATTTGTGTGTGTGTGTGTGTGCGTGCGTGCGCGTGCGCGCGTGCATGTGTGTGTGTGCGCGCGCGCTGGGGATTGAACCCAGAGATGCTTTACCACTGAGCTACATCCCCAGACCTTTTTATTTTTTGAGACAGAGTCTCACTAAGTTGCTAAGGGTCTCACTAAATTGGTAAGCTAGACTGTGATCCTTCTGCCTCATCCTCTCAAGCTGCTGAAATTATATGTATGTGCCACCATGCCTGGCTCTTGTATGTTTATGTTTTGTATATACATATTTTCAATTCTCTTGGGTATATACCTAGGAATATAATCAGTAGCTGGATCAAATAGCAACTTTATGTTTAGCTTCATCAGCAATTGCCACACTGTTTCCAAAGTTGCTGTACTACTTTATGTTCCGATCGACTGACTGCGCATGTGGGTCACAGTATTCCGGCATCTTTGCCAACACCTGTTATTTCATTTTTTTTTTAAAAAATATAGCCATTCAAGTGAGCACGAAAGGGGTCTTATTGTTGTTTTGATTCGTATTTCCTTAATGACTCATGGTGTTAAACATCTTTTCATGTTATTGTTGTCCATTTGTACAACTTCAGAGAAAAGACTCCTCAAATCCTTTGCCTATTTTAAAATTGGATTATTTTATCTCACCGCATAAAGAGTTCTTTATATATTCTGGATATTAGATTCTTATCAGATATATGATTTGCAAATTTTCTCCCATTCTATGTGTTGTTGTTTCGCTTTTTTTTTGTTTGTTTTGTTTTTCTTCCTTTGTGCTGGGGATTGAACCTAGGGCCTCATACATGCTAGGCAAGCACTTTACCACTAAGCTACAAGCCCAGTCCTTTTTACTTTTTTTTTGTGTGTGTTGGTGTGGTGTGTGTGTGTGGGGGGCACCAGGGATTGAACCCAGGGACACTTAACCACATAGCCAAACCTCCAGTCCTTGTTTATATTTTACTTAGAGACAGGGTCTCACTGAATTGTTTAGGGCCTCACTAAGTTGCTGAGGCTGGCTTTGAACTTGCAATCTTCCTGCCTTAGCCTCAACCTGAGCTGCTGGGATTATAGGTGTGTACCACCATGCCCAGCCCTTTTTACTTTTTACTTTTTTTTTTTTTTTGGCACCCAGGATTGAACTCATCGGCACTTGACCATTGAGTCATATCCCAAGCCCATTTTTGTATTTTATTTAGAGACAGGGTCTCACTGAGTTGCTTAGTGCCTGGCTTTTGCTGAGGCTGGCTTTGAACTCGAGATCTTCCTATTTCAGCCTCCCAAACCGCTGGGATTATAGGTGTGCACCACTGTACCCAGCCCCCTTTTTGCTTTTTGATGGTATACTTTGGAGCACAAAGTTTCTTCATTTTGAAGAATTACTTGTTATATATTTTTCTTTGATTGCCTGTACTTTGATATCATATCTGGGAACCCTAATTGAAGGTTATTTCTAAGATTTTATACCTCTTACATGTAAGTTTATAGTTAATGTTGTGTTGATTTTTGTATATTGTGTGAGGCAGAGGTTCAATTTCATCTTTTTGCATGTGGTTATCCAATTGTTCTAAAACAATTTGTTGAAAAAACATTTCCTTCCTCATATAAATGTTTTGATATTCTTGATGAAAATCCACTGCCCATTGCTATGATTTGAATGTGTCTCCTCCAAAATTCAGGGGTTACCAATGTGATAATATTAACAGGTGGGTCCTTTAAGAGATAATTAGGCCATGAGAACTCTTCCTTCATAAATGTATGAAGGGTCTTATAAAAGAATCTTCACAGCTTTCATCTCTCTGCCCTTCCACCTTCTACTGTGTGAGGACCCATCATTTCTCCCCTTTAGAGGATGCAGATATAAGATGCCATCTTGGTAGCAAAGAACAGTCCTTGCTAGACAATAGGGCCTTGTTCTTGGACATCTTATCATCCAAAACTGTGAGAGAATAAGTTTTTGTTCCTTACAAATTACCCAGTCTCAGGTATTTTATCATAGCATTTGAAATAGAGTACGAAACCTTAAATGTTTAGATTTATTTTTGGACTTTCAATTCTATTCTATTGGTATGTCTATTCATATCGTTTTGGTTAATGCAGCTTTGTAATAAATTTCATAATTGGGAATTGAGTGCTTTACCTTTGTTTTTATTCATTATTGTCTTGGTTATTCAGGGTTCTTTGCATTTCATATGAATTTTGGTATCAGTTTGTTAATCTTCACACACACACACACACACACACACACAATCCATGGGCAGGTGGTTGATGAGGATTGCATTTAATTTGCAGATCAAATTGAAGATGATTACCATTCTAATATTACTAAGTCTTCCAATTTATGAATGCAGAATACCCTTCCATTTATTTAGGTCTTCTTTAATTTCTTTCAATGATGTTTTGTAGCTTACATTATACAGGTCTTGCACTCCTTCTGTTAAATTGACCACTAGGTATTTTATCCTTTTTTCTTTTTTATTTCCCTGAGCCTTTTAATCTTTTCCTTTATCATGTTATGAAATTTATGGCTTTCTGATTTTACTTGACATGGCTTGTCACTTTGACCATGCTTCCTCAGAACCATCTTACCAGCAAGTTTGCATAATTCTTGGGGTCCTTGTCAAAATATAAATCTTGTATTTTTGAAGAGTACACCTAAATTTTGTCCAATCTTCTGTTTTATCTTCTTCGATCAACCATCTTTATAATTTCGTCCCAGGCTTACTCTCCTGTCTCCTTCAGCCTCTTCAGCCTATGCTGGTTAGATCTTTTTGCTCCTTATATAGTGTTATCTGGCAAATGGCCCCAACTGGGTTGTGCTGTAACTTAACCCCTATTATAGATTTGGTGAATGGGGGGAAGGTGAGGGCAGGTCCTGAAGCATCACATGTTGTCTAGTGGGAGAGGAGACTTTGTTTTGTTTTTCAAGCAAGGGGAACATATTTCTTTCAATAGGGAAGGTTGGCTCACATCTGAAGGCTAACAGGATCCAGAGGAATCTGGAAATTTAAGATTTTGGAGAACTTTAACCAAGATTTTCCCATACCAGGTGTCAGGGTCTGATTGTTTACCCCGAAAAGCCCTGTCCTTGGCATAGGAGACCTAATTTGGTTGGTAGTTTAATCTTCTATGAAACTTGGCTATACTGATTTAGCCTGAGTTTTATCCTCAACTTTCTGTGCCTTTCCCTTGCAGGCTGTGAAGGTATTTTTTTTTTTTTTCCATTTTGAGTACCCAGTATTGAACTCAGGGGCACTCAACCACTGAGCCACATCCCCAGCCCTATTTTGTAACTTATTTAGAGACAGGGTCTCACTGAGTTGCTTAGCACCTCTTCCTTGCTGAGGCTAGCTTTGAACTCAAGATCCTCCTGCCTCAGCATCCCAAGCTGCTGGGATTACAGGTGAGCACCACCGTGCCCGGCTGTGAAGATCTCTTTGCACGCTCTCAGGGACCCTCTGGTTTTCACACTTGGCTTTCAATTGTGGCAGTAATTCAGTCTTCTTGTTTCTTTTCCTAGAATTTCAATAGAGCTAAACAATAACCATCCAATTCATTGTCCTTATAGTACTATTTCTGCCATATATTGTACCAGTGAATGCATTTTTTTTTCCACTGGTTTATCATCCCAATTCGACACTGGTGAAAGTTTATTTGTTTACTTATTTTGGTACCAGGGATTGAGCCCAGAGGCACTTAATCACTGAACCACATCCCCAGCCCTTTTTATTTTTTATTTTGAGACAGGGTCTCACTAAGTTGCTTAAGGCTTTGCTCAGTTGCTGTGGCTGGGCTTGAACTTGCAATCCTCTTACCCCAGCCTGGCAAGTCACTGTTATTATAGGCAAGCACCACCACTCCCAGCTCATTGTTGAAAGTTTTAAAATATGATCTACCATGGACCAAAGGCTTCCTGTACTCCACTTATCACTGACAATATGGCTCTGAGTGGTGAGTGATCCAGCTCTGAAACCCCTCTTATATCTGATTTCTCAGACCTCTTTTGGCTCCAATTGTGGCAGTTTGGGTTTTCTAGGAAGCAGACTGAAAGAGACTTTTGTGTTCAGGATATTTATTTGAAAGAACTATTGGGCACAATACCTTTATTTTGTTTATTTAGTATTTTTACATGGTGCTGGGGATTGAACCTGGTGCCTCATATGTGCTAGGCAAGCATTCTACCACTGAGCCACAACCCCAGCCCTAGAAGAACTATTGGGATCAACATATGTGGATGGGAAGGGAAAGAAGAAAAGAATGGGGCAGAGAGAAAGTGGATTATGAGATGCAGGCTGACAGCCTCAGTGAACCCCACACAGGGAGTTCTTGAGTACAAATGGCCCACAACAATATCCTGCACAGGGCTAAAATAGCCAAGTCTTTCTATCTTTGCCTTGACCATCATTGGATTTGGGTCACTTAGGAAGGGCACATATTCTTGGCAAGGTTGTTCTCTGTAGGTTAGACAAACCTTGAAGAAAATGATAGCTGACAGCTATGTGCTGACAGCAGTCTTCACAGTTGGGTAACAAGTCCTCCCTTGTAGGGAGACCTGGCCAATACACCTCAATGTCCACCATAAATTTCAGGTCTGCAACTTACTCTCAATTTTTTCAGGTAAAAATTCATTATGCTGGGCTGGAGATAAAGCTTATCTCTTACCTAGCATGTGTGAGGCCCTGGG